AAGGTCCCGGGCCTCGATTCCAAGGGCCTCCGCTGGCCCAGGCGGTGAAGCGGCTAAGCCGTGTGCCGCGAGGGCAGTCGTAGAGTGCGCTATTCCATCGGCTTCCATTTTAGCGATGAGGTCTCAGAAATATACCCATCCCCCGGACTATCGGGCGAAGTCCGAACAGTGTCCTGCCAGGTAAGTCGCATGTTCCCCGACGCCGATTGCAGTGGCGTTGTTGCGATGACTGCGTCTCCTCCCAAATTTGTCACTTTCCAACGCGAGTGAGTCCTCTGCGTCCATTTCTGCTACGTCGGCTAAGCCGGGAGCACCAGTTGGCCGTGCAAGGGGGAACGTGCTGCGTAGGTCGTCCGGGGCAGACTGTCCGGCCAATCATCTGAATCATATTCTGATCGGATGAATGAGACAAGGTGTGAGAACTCCTCTTTTGGAAGGTCTCCCATCAGCGAAAACGCGGGGCCATGGGCCAATTCGGCGTTTTCTCGAATGGCGCTGTAAGTGCGCCCGCGAATCGCTGCGACGTGGGGCGCCACAGGGCCAGCCCTATGAGCTTCGATAATCTGATTTGAAAGCTCGCGAAGTGCATCCTGGCGGACAGCCCCTCGTTCGGCATCCCCGAGATATACCCCCCCCTGCTCTGGATAATTTTTCATGATTGACGCTTCTTCTGCTTCCAGGGAGGTCCCGTTCCTTCGGGCGCAGCTGTTTATGCTCAGGTGATGGCGGGGCATCTACGCGTAAAAACAAATTGACCGGTCCCGCCCCGGCTTCCGCGCCCCCGTCAAGTTGAGATGTCAGATGGGACCTGTCCCCCTTATGAGGGGTGCTCAGCGGTGAATCAACCGCTGATCCGCGCTCTTCTTCGCCTTCTGAGCCACCGTTGCGTCGTCCACAGCATCGGTTAAACCGGGCTGTGCAACAGGCGCAGCAGATCTCAGTGCATCGGGGACTTCGCAAGATATCTTGAAATCCTCATAACGATCAACAATAAACAACCGTATCACATTGGCCCGGCTCTTGTAGGGCAATGAGTATTCGTTTGGTTTATTCGTTTGTCTCCCACATTCTTCCACATGGCGTCTAACTCGGGCGACCAAATCCTCGTGAAGGTGTTGAACCTCCGTCTCCGTCAAAAGGCTCACACCTTGAGGTTGGCCTCCATTAGGGGGAACATGCCAGAGCCAATTCAGTTCACATGCCAACGAAAGCCTGGCACAATCTGAACCCACCCCGAAGCGGGCATCTAAAAGACCTCAGGTCATTCTTATGATTGCCGACACGTGATATTCATCTTCGAGATCTCTTGGAGGCATGGGCAAGGCGCCAGGTGGTTCAACTACCGTAGCTTCCCCTCGCTCTGCTCTGCCTGCTTTTCGCTCGCAGGTGCCGAGTCCGTAGGGGAATGCACCGCTACCTTGGACCGCGACTTTGTCTAGTCCTCAGGGGTCGAAGCATTGGGGGAAGTTTGACCGGCGCTGGCTGAACCTCTCTGCTCGTCATTCTCGTCGGGCGGCCTCTCTGGTTTCTCTTTTATGGGCCCGAGGCTCAGGTTCGGCGGGCCCTTCGGCGGAGGCGAAGGAGTCGTTGCTGAAACCTCTGCTGAGGCGGCTCCCGCCGGGGTGGGCGGGGCGGGCGGCCTCGGGGAAGATTGGGTATCTGGCGGAGGCTTCTTCGCGGTGGCCTCCGGGCCTTGTCCGCTGCCACTTGGCAGAGCCAATGGCTTCGGAGGAGGCGGTGGCTCGGGAGTCGGGGGGGGCATCGAAGCCTGGCTCGTGGCGCGTCCACTACCGCTCGATTGGGCTGTCGGTAGAGCCCTTGGGTCCGCTGGAGGCGGCGGTGGCTTCGCTGGCCTTGGATCCGCTGGAGGCGGTGGCGGCTTCACAGACCTTGGATCCGCTGGAGGCGGTGGCGGCTTCGCGGGTCTTTGCTCCTCTGTCGGCGGTGGCGGCTTCGCGGGTGCAATCTGGAACTGAACTCCAGCACCACTCGGTGGAACTGGTGGTAGCTGGGCCCCGGCGGTAGAGGGCGAACTCGAAGCAGGCTCCCCCCGCCGGCTGAGCCGGTGGCTTGGCCTTCGCTTCAGTCAGGATTTCGCATCCTACAATCCGAATTGTTTCCTCCGGTGCACCATCCAATAATGGGTGCAAAGAAGCACTCTGGCATTTCGCGCGTTCTGATACTTCAGCTGTTGCGAGTTCTCATGACTGCCTGGTTGATCTACGAATTGTGCTCTATATGTGTGTCCGACGCGCTACGAGGCCTGAGTTCCTGCCAGTTGTTGCTCTTGCCATGGAGAGAGTGCCTGGTTTTCCTGGCGGGCTGTACCTGTAGGCCGACCTAGGCCTCCTAGCACGACTCGGCGGAGTCCGACGCTTACTCGTTCGACTGGGGGGGGGGGCGGTCGTACTAATGCGCCAAAGTAGGTCTACTAGTACGACCCGCGGTGGGGAGAAGTCCTACTAGTAGGGCGCACGTACGCCTATTAGTACGACTGGGGGGGTCATACTAATGCGCCAAAGTAGGCCTACTAGTACGACCCGCGGATGGAGAGGAGTCTTACAAGTGGGCCCAAGTACGCCTCGTAATGCGACTTGGGGGGTAGTACTCGCACGCTTATGTAGGCCTCCTAACACGACCCGCGGGCCTAGGAAAGTCCTACTCGTAATTGGCGGCGCGCACAAGGGGTAGGGGGAAGGGGAAGGCTTCTTAGAAGGAGACTGCTTCTCGGAAGGCGCCGGCCCTACTTCTATACATAAGATTCGATCTCAAAAAACAAGGTGCTTCTCTGACGCCTTACCCCCTCCCCCTACGCCCCTCTGAGCGTAGCCGGCGTAAGGCCTAAGTGCACCAACTGGTACGACCCGTGGGGTCCTGCGCGAGTGCGCCAACGTGAGCATACTTGAGCGACCCGCGGGTGGAGGAAGGTCCTGCTCGCAGGGGCTGGTCAAGTACGCCTACTAACACGATCGCAGGGGTCCTACTCGTGCGCCAAACTAAGGCTGCTGATCAAGCGCGACCGCCACGGCGGAATTGTGAGGACGTCTCGAACGGGCCCCCCCCCGCCAGACGTGCGTGCTAGTAGCCTTAAGTAGCCCTACCAGTGCGCCCTGGCCAGCCTCACCGTGCCAGAAGTGTGAGATTCTCGATCTTGGGCACACTCCGCCGGTCGTGCTACTAGGCCGAAGTAGCCCTACTAGTACGCCTCCCCCCCTCCTCAGCATCCAGGGGTCGCACTAGTACGCCAGAGTAGCCCTACTAGTAGCCACCTCTGGGGTGGAATTGTGAGGATGTCTGGAGCGGGGGCCCTCGCCGTCCGTCGTGCGGGTTGGGCTGAGTAAACCTTCTAGTGCGCCTCCTCCACCCTCAGCGTCCTGGGGTCGTACTAGCACGGCTGCTCTGGCCCTGGCAAAACGCCCGCCCGGGCGGAATTGTGAGGATGTCTCGAGCGGGAGCCCTTTGCGCCGGTCGTGCTAGAAGGCCGACTTAGCCCTACTAGTACGCCCCGGCCAACCCCTGCCAGCATCCTGGGGTCGTACTAATAAGGCTACTCTGACCCTTGCAGTACGCCCGTCAGGGTGGAATCGTGAGGATGTCTCGAGCGGGGGCCTTCTCCGCTGGCGCCAGAGCCTACTATACGCCCTGGCCAGCCCCGACCCTGGGCCATCCTGGATCGTCCAAATAGCCCTACCAGCAGCCCCCCCCGGGGCGGAATTGTAAAGATATCTCGAACGGAACCCTCTCCACCTGTCGTAGTAGCAGGGCCGCAGGCGTACTGGCACGATCTCGCAGGTCAAGCGAGTAGGGCTATGTAGGCGGGCTAAGACGACTGCGGCGCGCAAAATCAATCGCACGAATACGGCCACGCAGGCGTACTTACGACCGTGCGGCGTACTAATAAGGGGAAGTAGGCGTACTAGTGCGATCTCGCGGGGCGTACTAGTTAAGCGATGTAGGCGTACTAATACGACGGCGGCGTCCAAGGTCTACCGCACGAGTACGGCCACGTAGGCGTACTAGCACGACCGCGCGACATATTATCAGGGCGAAGTAGCCGTACTGGTGACATCTCGTAGGGCGTACTAGCTGGGCGATGTAGGGATGCTAATACGACAATGGCGTCCAAAGCCTATCGCACGAGCGCGGCTATGTAGGCGTACTAGTACGATCGCGCGGCGTCCTAGTAGGGCGAAGTGGGCGTACTAGTAAGATCTCCAGACAAAGCAAGCCTATTATGTTGCCCTGGTGCTCGTGGTGCGGTGCTTTCTGATTTTACCCACATCTTGCGTTGATTGTTGCGACTTCTCGCTCTTGCCCTGGTGCCGTATGGTTGGCGCCCCTATGGGTCGGACTCTATGGTGCTTTTGCTGTTGTCATTTCGTGTTTGCGCGTTGGTGCCCGATGAGTAATGAGATCACAACGCGCGTATAACAGCCCCAAGCATGGTGCACCACTTATATGGCTCAAGAAGGGTTGAGTAGCGAGGGTGCGAGAACGCTTGTTTGGAGCCCGTGCTGGCCATTATTATTTGAATGCGCCATGTCCAACTCCATACGTTCTTCGCGTGGTGAAAGAGTGCCTAGTCTTCTGCAGGCTTGCGAGCGCCCACGGCAACCATGGCCCGGCACACTCTGGGTGGGACTTCTTGCTTCGGAGATGGAATGGAGAAAATCGACCTTACCTCTGCCAAGGCGGCCTTCCATAAGGCAGCTCGCAAATGCGGCCCGAAAAAGGTAGCAAACTGAGCGACGCTGGCAAATTACGGACCTCCTGGCCTTCCTCAGCCATCCTCTCTCTTCCTCATCTCCTGCGGAAGGGGCAACAGGGTCAAGGAGCCTGACCCACCCAAGGGTCTGAATGATTGACAGAGGCGATGGCGATGAGGCTTTCCTCCAGGGGAAAAGTCCTCACGGCAGCGTCAGTAGCGATAGGTGAGGGAAGGAGAAGGAGAGACTGGGTACACACGCATCCCCCTGCCTCCATTGCGGCTCCCTGCGCACCTGCGAGGGCCCAGCGAACTCGCCGTCGGCCGCCGGCGCAGGCTTCACCGCGTCGCTCGCGGCCACGGCGGATGCGTCTCCCATGGCGCTCTTTGTTAAGGCCATGGACCGGATGTCCTTCAGCTTGTTCTTCGCCCTGGCCCCAGGGTGAGGCGAAGGCATCGGGCGCAGTCACATTGCCCCCTTCCATGACGACCCCCTTCGGTGCCGACCCCGTCGCACCCCCACCATATGTAGGCAAATGGCTGGAGCTGGGTCTGCAAGGCGAGTGGATGTGTGCGGTTTCCAAGGGGGGCGACAAACGCTCCCAGTGAAGGCACCACGTGGGCCTCCATCCTCCTTTCCGCCACGTCCAGTCGTCGCTAGTAAGCGATAGCAGGCGTGCTCGTCATGTTTCGTCCCTGGGGGCCTTTGCAGATTGTTGTGGAACGAAACACCCTGCGCGAATACGGGGTAGAGAGCTCTTGTGTTTTTCCCAACCACCCTGTGGTGTTGGGTCCTCGTTTTGAAGAAGCGCCCCGCGTTCCTTCCTCCTTCCTCTTCCCCCGCATCATCCTCCCATCATCATCATCATCATCATCATCATCATCATCATCATCATCATCATCATCATCATCATCATCATCATCATCAGCATCATCATCATCAGCATCATCAGCATCATCAGCATCATCATCAGCATCATCAGCATCATCATCATCATCATCGTCAGCATCATCAAGATCATCACCATCATCATCATCATCATCATCGTCATCATCATCACCATCAGCATGATCATCATCACCAGGATCATCATAAACATCAGCATCAACATCATCAGCATCACCACCGTCATCATCATGAGCATCATCATCACCATCATCATAACCATCATCACCATCAGCATCGTCATCACCATCAATCATCGGCATCACCATCACCATCACCACCATCATCATCTTCCCCTTCTCCTTCTCCTTCATCATCATCATCATCATCATCATCATCGTCATCCTCATTATCCTCCTCCTCATCATCAGCGACATCATTTACATCCTGATCCTGATCACGCGCATGTCCATCATCACCACTACCATCACCATCACAAGCACCATCACCATCCTCATCCTCATCATCATCATGATCATCCCCATCATCACCAACATCGTCATTGACATCATCATCAACATCAGCATCGCCATCATCAGCATCATCACCACCACCATCAACACCATCACCATCAGTATCACAATCACCACACTCATCACCATCATCACCATTATCACCATCATTACCATCATCATATCAACACCATCATCACCATCATCAGCATCATCACCATCAGCGCCATCATCACCACCGTCATCACCACCAGCATCACCATCATCACCCCCATCCTCATCCTCGTCCTCATCCTCATCCTCCTATTCATTATCGTCGTCGTCGTCGTCGCCAATGTCTCACGACCTCGAGCCCCAGGCATTCTTCTGTCCGGGCGCATGCCGCAAGCGGCCCCAGGCCACGGCCAGCAGCACCCGGGGCGGACGGATCCGTCGCGCCGCGATCCGCCCCCGTGACCCCCGTCACGTTCCTGAGTGGTACGGCCAGGCCTGGGCCATAGTGACATCCTTCGAGAGCACGAGACCCTCCGCCGGCCAAGCTGAAGAGCATCCGAAGGTATCCTCCTCCAGGATGCGCAAGAGCATTCAGCGGGCAGGAGAAACATCAGGGTACCCTCCCCGAACCAACCTCGATCTTACACCTCGGTCTGACCGTACTGTGCCAGATGCTGCCTGGCAGAGTTCCTGGGTTGCCTCTGCAATCATACAGTCGGCCCATATCGTAAGGACGCACGATAAGGATGCAAGGGCCTTGGACGGCCATTTCGAAGCTTTTCGAGCGGGGCGCGGCCAACGAAAGTGGCCATGGATGTACCGAGGAGGCGCGGATGCAAGGGTACCCTGGAGAAGGTTGCCCATCCTTACTGTGCGGGTTGACTGTGCACCTGCAACCACGAATACATTCTCGATGCGAGGGCGCCCCGAAAAGGCCTTTCGGGCTTCTGAGGGACGTCTTGTCCTGGCGAAGGACCCGATCCTACGCAGGGGGTTGCCATGCGGGCTGCAGGAGGGAGGGAGAGATAAAATTGGAGCTCCCCTGGGGCAAGAAACCATGGGAATGGCGTGCCGAATTGAGCCGGGGAAGATGTAAGGTCACGCTCACCATGGCCGCAGGGCATCTGCCTATGGATCACGATCTGGGAAGGAGGTGCGCTGGATTGAGGCGGGGACGTTGCAAGGTTCGGCTCGCTCGGGCCATAGGTCGAATTTCCTAACGATGGGGTGCGATCCGTGTAAAGGGTATGCTGAATCGAGGCGGGTACGGTATATGGCCGCGCTCACTGGGGCCGTAGGTGCAATTCCCTAAGGGGCAAGATCCGACCGAAAGGAGTGCCGACATGCGGTGGCGACGGTGTGCGCTCACCAGGTCCACAGATGCAACTCCCCATGGGGCACGATCCGCGTGAGGGGGGTGCCGATTTGAGGTGGGGACGGTGTAACGCAAGAGAGCCCAGAAGCGAATCGATAAGTCGGATCGGCGTAAATCGGATCTGCGGAAATCGGCAGCCGAGTCGGGAAAACCGAATCGGGGAAATGAGACACCGGAACCCAAATCGGAATCCTCAGTCGAATCGAATCGGAATCGGAAGCCATCGAAGTCGAACCGAATCGAATCGGAGGAATCGACACGAGCCCTGGTGTAACGCCGCGCTCAATGAGGCCGTGGATGGAGCTCCCTATGTGGCACGGTCCTCGTGAGTGCAGGGTTGCGCTCACCGGGGCCACTGGTGAAAATCCCTGTGGGGCACGACCCGCGCAAGGGGAGTGCGGACTTGAGGCGGAGACGGCGTAAAACCGCGCTCGATTGGGGCCGTGGGTACGAACGAAAGAACGGATCTGCCGTCGCCGCGAAGCGACAATACAAGGGCGGCAAGCGCGCAAAACGCGCTGGCCTCCAAGGAAGCCGGTTTGCTGAGAAGTGCGAGACATGTGCTAAAAGCGGCAACCGCGTTAGCGCCACATGGTATTGATGTGTTCACTTCCGTGCCAGCCATATCTCTGGCACGTTCTGTGGGTGGAATTCCTACAAAACACCGTCCGTGTAAGGGGTATGCTGGGTTGTCGCGGGGACTGTCCATGGCCGCGCTCACTGGGGGTGCAAGTGGGGTTCCAGGCGAGGCACGATCCGCGTGAGGAGAGTGCCGACTTGAGGCGGAGATGGTACAGGGCCGCGCACTCCGGGGCAGTGCGTGCAGCTCCCTGTGAGGCACGATCCGCGTCACGGGGGGCTCGACTTAAGGCGGGGACGCTTTAAGGGCGCGCTCGGTGGGTCTCCACGTGGGGCACGATCTGGGTGAGGGGTGTGCCGAATTGGGGCGGGGACGGTATAATGGCGTGCTCGGAGGATCTCCATGTGAGGCACGAGCTGGGTGAGGGAAGTGCCGAATTCGGGCGGGGACGGTATGAAACCACGCTCACTGGGGGTGTATGTGGAACTGCCCATGGAGCATGATCCGCGTCACGTGTGCGCCGACTTGAGGGACAGTGTAGGGCCGCGTTCACAGGGGCCGTGGGTGGTGCCCACTTGCTGCAGCGGATGGCAGCGCAACCGTAGCAAGGTCAGCTGCAACAATAGCATCGGCTGGCAACGCACGCAACGGCAGCCAGGAGCAAGAGCAGCAACGGCATGGGGCCAACATCATGCAGCAGGCAGCGGATCCGCAGCGGCAGAAGGGGGGAGCAGAGGGCGGTACAGGGAAAGAACGAGGTGCGGTTGCAATCGAGGGAACACAAGAACACATCTCCACATGACAACTGGGGAATGCTGCCGCGTCGGACTATTTTTGGAACGTGTATGGCACTTTGTTTTCATCCTCTGGCGCCGCGAGAGGCCGCAAGCTGGCCCCCAGACGGCGCAGGGACACCCCCACCGAAAGCTGCCCCCGAGACTGCCCGATGCTGGCCCACGAGGCCTGCGAGGTCGCCCAAGATCGCCCCGGTACAGCCCTCGACGCCCACTGGGACGCCCCATAATTTGGAGGAGGAGAGGAGGAGGAGGAGGAGGAGGAGGAGGAGGAGGAGGAGGAGGAGGAGGAGGAGGAGGAGGAGGAGGAGTAGGAGGAGGAGGAGGAGGAGGAGGAGGAGGAAGAGGAAGAGGAAGAGGAAGAGGAAGAGGAGGAGGAGGAGGAGGAGGAGGAGGAGGAGGAGGAGGAGGAGGAGGAGGAGGAGGAGGAGGCGTGTGGAGGACACGGCTGCTCCAATACCCCGAACAGCCCTTAAGCTGAGAGGAGCCCAAGATGCTCCCGCAGGCCGCCCTGCAACGCCCTCGAGACGCCCACTGGACCGCTCCAACCAGATCCCACACCGCTCCAGGCGGCAGCAATGTGCCTCAGCATGGCCCGCATACCCCCCTGCAACTTGACTTACCACAAGCTCACGGTACGCCCAGAGGTGCCGCTCGGGCCACTTGCAAAACGCACACACGCACACGCACATCATACGCGAAGCCCTTCTCTTCGCTGGGGCAGCGATCTGTTCCTCGCTCCTGCCCTCTGGGGCACGGGGGGGCGAGGCGCCGCATGTCACGGCTCTCTAGGCCCTGGGGAAGACACCAGTCACATGCCACGGCCTCGTCGAGCCTGCGGAAGAGCGCGTCACCTGCCACGGCCCTCTGGCGTCTGGAGGCGATGGCCCTCAACTATTACACTATTCTTGGGTGGTTATCGAGAGGTCGCGAAAATGAGTACAGTGCTGACACGGTAGCAGAATTGCTACACGCACCTGGACACAGTTCATCTCCCGTCACACATATATATATATAGAGAGAGAGAGAGAGAGAAAAAAAAAAATAAAGAGAGAGAGAGAGAGAAAGAAAAAGACAGAGATGTAGAAGACGACGTGGGTATGCTCACATTGAACCAGGGCGACGGCCATGTCCAAAGTCCCTCCGTTCCTCTCCTCTATTGTGCCCCCAAATGACAACCTGACCGTCCCGTGAACCGCTTGTCGCCCGTCCGGCGCTCCTCTTCTCGGCAAGACTGCCAGCATGAGAGTGGGACACCCCGACTTGCCCCTCCGATGCTTCCCGAAGGGGTGCAGCAGCGCGGAGACAGACCAATGAGCCGCAGACGCAGTTGACGCTCTGTCCTCCTGAGCCCCGGATCGTGGCAGTGTGTCTACCAACAGGTGGCCGACAAGCTCATCGAGGTCCGCCGACCCCCCCGCTTCGGGGGTGAAAAGGCGTGTGAGGTGCTTGGCTGTCCCCCTCCCCCTTCCCTCCTCCCCCAAGGTCCTAAATCTCGTTTAAGGAGGAGGAGGAGGAGGAGGAGGAGGAGGAGGAGGAGGAGGAGGAGGAGGAGGAGGAGGAGGAGGAGGGGGAGGAGGAGGAGGAGGAGGAGGAGGAGGAGGAGGAGGAGGAGGAGGAGGAGGAGGAGGAGGAGGAGGAGGAGGAGGAGGAGGTTGGAGCGTCTGAGGGAGGAGGAGGAGGAGGAGGAGGAGGAGGAGGAGGAGGACGAGGAGGGTGCACGAGCTCCGTGGCGCACCCCCGTAGACTCTGGAGCTTCCAAATCTGCCCTCCGTGGCCTCAAAGATGCGCGAAGACGTTGGTTTCTCATTGTTTCCTGGGCTCTCGTCGCTCCAGGACGGCCTGCGAGGCCCCGCAGACCGCCCCCAAGAGTGCCCAAGAGGCCCCCACGAGGGCCCCAGGACGGCCCAAGAGTGTTCCAAGACGGCCCCCAAAAAGGCCTAAGAGGGCCAGAGATCGCCCCAAGAAGGACCCAAGACGGGCCCAGGGGGGGAGAACACGAACCGAGCATCCGATCCTTCCGCCCGCCCGAAGAGGCCCCCCAAAGGCCTCAGCGAGCCCTCAAGCGGTCCAAAAAAGGCTCCCGACAAGCCCCAAAAGGCACCCAAGAGGCCCCCAGAGGGTCCCCCAAGACGCTTCAAGACTGCCTCCAAGAGGCCCCACCAGGCCCCCAAACAGCTCCCATGACTCCCACACAGAGTCCCCAGATAGTGCCAAAGAAGCCTACGACGCCTCAACCGTGGACTCCCTGCTTCTTCTGGGGTAGGCGAAATGGCGTAAGTCTTCGGAATCCACGTCCGGAAGTGACGTGCTGAGCGGGTGTTTTTTCTTCGGAGGCGATAGCGCAACATATTCAATGTATCCAATCGTTGTACAGTTGCCACATCTTGTGTTGTTTTACATTGTTATGTCCCCCCCCCTAAGCACCCCTTGGAGTCGCGCCACTCCGCCGTACCCAGGTGGTGGCCTCCTTGTCGGGCTCGCAAAACCTTTTTTGGTGTAAAAAAACAATAAGAAATCTACGATCTGGGCCTCTGTGGCCTCTGGGGACTCCAAGAAGGCCTCAAGATGGCCCCAAAACGGCCCAAGACGGCCCTGGATGGTCCCAAGGGGGCCCGCGAGGCCCCCAAGATGGCTCAATGGGGGCCCCAAGAGGACTCGAAAGAGCGCCTCCAGGAGCCAAAACCATGTATTGTCCTTTGGTTTTTGAAAGATTTAGCGTTCTCGCCTTTTTCGGCTCTCAGAGGACCATGACGGCCCAAGCAGCCTCCAAGAAGAACCCAAGACGACCAAAGAGGCCCCAGAAGGGGCCCCAGGATTGCTCAAGAGGGCCCCGAGACGGCCAAAAGAGCCAAGACGGCCCAAGAGGACTCCAAGAGAGCCCGAAGGCGGCCGCGAGAGGCCTCCAAGATGGCCTCCGAAGGGGCCAGACGGCGCAGCAGCGCCCCAAGCCGGCTCAAGACGTCAACAAGAAGCCCCAAGAGGCCCCAAAGCGGCCCAAAAGACGCTCCAAGAAGCCCCCACGAGGCTTTCAAGAGGCTCCCAAGAGCCTCCCATGAGGCCGCCCAGAAGCCCTGGGAATGGCAGGACGGAGCGGCATGCACGCGCGGCAGCCGAGCAGGTCACGCCAACCAACGCCCACACCTTCCACATTTGAAAACTTTTCCACAGCGGCAGACGCCCCCAGGAAGCCCTAAGAGACTCCCAAGAGACGCCCCAAGAGGCCCCCAAGAGGTCCCAGGAGGCCTCCAAGCAGCCCCCAAGAGACCCCCAAGAGGCTTCCAAGATGCCTCAAACTGCCACCCATAGGCCCCCGAGAGCCCTCCGAAGAGACCCTAAGGGGCGTCCCTGAGGACTCTGACCCACTACCCAGGCACGGTGGCGGGACGGGCCGCCACTCTGACCCACTACCCAGGCACGGTAACGTTCTCGCCTTTTTCGACTCGCAGAAGCCCATGACGGCCCAAGCAGCTTCCAAAATTACCCCAAGACGGCCCAAGAAGCCCTCAAAAGGCCTCCATGACGGCCCAAGCGGGCCCTAAGACGGCCCAACTCAAGAGGACCCCAAGAAAGCCCCAAAACGGCCGCGAGAGGCCCCCAGACCGGCTTCCGAGTGGGCCACACGCCGCAAGAGCGCCCCAAAACGGCCCAAGACTCCCCCAAGAGGCTCTAGTAGGCCCCAAAGAAGCCCAGTGCGGAGGAGGCCCCAAGAAGCCCCCAAGACACCTCCAAGAGGCCACCAAGAAGCTCCCAAGAGGCCCCGCAACGACTGGACTGTACGTGCTCCGGACGTGCACCCCACGAAGCGAGAGGAAGTCACGCAGATCGGAAAAAGTAGGTCAACACATGAAGTAGGAAGGCAGATACAGTAGATTAGGTTCAGGCCCTCCCAGAGAACAACAAAACACAGCCAAAGCACATCGATTCTTGAAGTAGAAAGGCGCCTTAGGTAGACTTTGGAGTCCCAAAACGGTGCTGTGACAGACCGTGCGGTGACCTCGAAATCCACCAAGACCTCACCGCACGGTCCGTCAACGCCCGAGACGTCCTCGGAGAACGACCCGAGTCTCAAAACCGTGCGGTTGCCCCGGATCCCCACCGACTCACCACACGATGTGGTCACCACCCCGTTTGGGGGCCTCCGGTAGACGGGGCCCTGGGCATCCAAGGATACCTACTCTCAACGACCGATGAACTCTCCCTCCCCGCGCGCCGTTCCCCCCCCCGTGCCGCCTCCCCTGCCTCGCCCCTCGCGAAGGTCTCCCGAGGCCAGTGCGGCGGACACACTCCGGGAGGGAGCAGCAGCCGTGGCAGAAGGAGGAGGAGGAGGAGGAGGAGGAGGAGGAGGAGGAGGAGGAGGAGGAGCAGGAGGAGGAGGAGGAGGAGGAGGAGGAGGAGGGGGGGGGAGGATAAGGAGGAGCAGAGGAGGAGGAGGAGGAGGAGGAGGAGGAGGAGGGGGAGGATAAGGAGCAGCAGGAGGTGGAGGAGGAGGAGGAGGACATCCTCTGCGCTTCCTCCTCTGCCAGCTCCCGCTCGACTCGCCGTTTGCCCTCTCGGGGTCGCCAGGTCTCGCGCGTCGCGCCCCGCGGTGCGCGACGTGCGCGAGCCTCGTCGCGCCCTCGCGAGAAGGCTTCCCGAGGTCGGCGTGACCGGCACGCCCCGGGAGGAGCAGCAGCAACGACGTCGCTCGATCCTCCTCCTCCTCGATCCTCCCCCTCCCCCTCCCCCTCCTCCTCCTCCTCCTCCTCCTCCTCCTCCTCCTCCTCCTCCTCCTCCTCCTCGGGGTCCTGCTCCCGCTCCTCAGCTGCTGCACGTTTCCCGCTCCTCGGGCTCCTGCTCCCCCTCCTCTTCTGCCAACTCCCGCTCGACTCGCCGCGTCCCTTCTCTGCACTTGCCGTCGCTCGGACGTCCATACCCCGTGCATGTTTCGGCTTTGTGCGTGTTTTGCTTTGCTCGGTGGTCCAGGATGCTCCTCGATGGTTCTCGCCGAGAAAAACGAAGCACACGTCCCCGAGCGATGCCAAGTGCAACCCTCCTTGAAGTCCGCAAGTTTTGATCCTACCCCCGCGGCCCCGAATCTCAGTGTGGATGGACGCGCGCAGCACGGCCCGCGGAATCAACCAAGAGTTGCACTCGCCAATGTCGGCGTCAACATTGAGATTGGGGGTCTCCCGAGGTCGGTGTGATTGACACTTCCTCCTCTGCTGCAGCCGGGAATCTCATCAAGAACATACCAGTCAAGGCATCAGGGCCAGCTTCCCGGCAGTTTCTTACAACAAGCCTGGGTAGACTTGTTTATGCAGTTCACGCTGGAAGAGCGAGCGTGCTCGAGAAACTGGGCCAGCTTTCTACTAGCACATTGGTCAAGAAACGCTGTTGCTCGACCGTAGCTCGCACTTGACTCGCTGTTTCCCTCTCTGGGTCACCAAGTTTCGCGCGTCGCGCCCCACGATGCGCGACGCGGGATCCTCTTCGCGCCCTCGCGCGCTCGTGCCGCCGCCCTGGAGAAGTGCAGCCGCGCTGGCCCAGACCGCGGCGCGCGAAGCGCGGCTATCTTGGGCCCCCCCGCGGGTGACCTACAACCAAGCGTGTGATCAGTCCTACTGCCACGTGTCACATCTGGGCCAGCTTCCCAGATCTTTCTTGAAACACACCTGGGCCAATTTCTGGTGTTCATGCTGACGGGGGCGGACGTGCTCAAGAAGCTGGGCGGGCTGTCTGGCAAGTGGGTCAGGAAAAGCTGGCCCAGCTTTCAGGCTGATCAGAGGGGAGGTGTCTTCATCAGATGCTCGACTGCAGCTTCTGCGGCCCCCCTCTGACATCCCCTCGGTCAGCGCCCTCCCATCGCCCCCCCGCGCACCTCGACACCTTGTCGCCCGCGGCGGCGGAAGGCTTGAGGAAAGCGAACTCCTTCAGCTCCGACATCTCGTAGCAGTGCTTTATCTGGCGCATGTCCCACTCTTTCTCTGCCTCTAGGGCTCCCAACTTCGCGCTTCGCGCTCCGCGAAGCGCGAATAACTTCGCGCTCTCGCGCCGCCCCCCCCAAAGGGAGAAAAGGAGGACGAGGAGGAGGGGGAGGAGAAACGAGGACCGCGAAGCGCGAAGCGCGAATAACTTCGCGCCCTCGGGGGAGCCCTTGCCACTGCCTGGTCGACCGTCTGCCGGTCGTCGACGCCGTCGACGCTCCGCCCCCTGCAGCACCCCTGGGACACCGCCAGGGTCAGGTCCTGACTACCTACCAGACCACCCCAACCCAACCCGAAGACCCGAATTTCGGGTTGGGGGGGGGTAAGGGTTCCACATGTGTTTTTTCGATGTTTCCCGACCCCCCCCCCACTGGAAATCGAGGGTAAATTTGAGCCTTCGGGTTGGGTTGGGGTGGTTTGGTGGGTGGTGAGGTCCGCAAGGAGCCCGCCCCCCAAGAGGAAGGCGAGCAGCCGCGACAGGAAGAGGGCGGTGAGGCCCAGCAGCAGGAGCGTGTTGGGAATGGCCGCGCTCTGCACCATGCGCCCCGCGAAGACGGCGTCGCCGGTGAGGGAGTCCATCCACTCTTTGGCGACGCTGGCGGAGCTCGCCGAGTCGCGACTGGGAAAAACCTCGTTGTTACCGAGCATCCAGATCGCTGCGACAGAATGCACCCATACCGCGAAATACACCCACCACGCCATCCCCACCTACGATGCCGTCGTCACGCTCACCGACCTGACTCCCCCACCTCCCGTGACGTGGGATGCGGGCAAAAAGACGCACGGCGTGTGTTGTGTCCGCGTCGCCCCTCTCCCTCGCCCTCGACTAGGGATGCCCAGACATGCGATGCCATGCTTTTGTCAGTACGGGGATCCCGAACGCCCCGATCCTTTCCCCGGGACCGGTTTCTCATCCTGATTTTTTGTTCGACGGTCCTGGAGCTCGGCGAAAGCCCCCAAGGGCCGACAACGCCGAAAAAAGCCTCCCGTCCTGATTTTCTTCGCGACGCGGGCATGTCTGGGGGGAAAGGGGAGGGGGGTGTGGGGGGACTGGATCTGTGGCCGTGACGACGGTCTCCTGCCCGCCGCGAGGTGCTCCGTGTACATGGGCGGCACGTCGGAGCCCCGCAGCAGCACAAGCTTGTCGACCCAATGCTGCCCGAACACCGCCAGGACCAGGGTGATCGACATGAACGGCATTCCGCTAGAGCCCATCATGGCGGCCAAGATGTGGCTGAGCTGGAGCGCCTGCATTACAGCCATTGTGAACTGTGGCGGGGTGTAGAGTTTCTTCAGCTCTTGCCAAGATTTGAGCCGACCTCTCCTTATCCATCGCAGGCATCCCAAGGCGTACGGCGTGAAAGCGTACAAAGGCAAGAACGATACAGACATTAGGAATATCTTGACAATCTGACCACCAACCATTACGAACCATTCTGCGTGTGTGTCATCGTATTCTCCATTTCCGAAGATGCCCAGGAAACCTGGACCGCCGATATAGACACCCTCTGCCTTCCAATTAACGAGCGCCGTAGTAAAGCCCAAAGTGAGGAAACACAGGACTGTGCTCATATATACTGTGAGGTGTTCCTGCAATGTCAAAGTCTTCTGACGAGTGGAAACGCTCAGGCGCGTAATTAAATCCTTTCCGAAAAAGTTCAAAACGGTAATCAGTACCCCTGACATGGAAGACCAAAATGCCGCCTTTTGTTGAGCATTCCACCACTCCTTGCATTCCTCCCAAATGCCAGTTGGATGGTCGTTCCACACGCCCTGATATCCACACGCGGCGCACACGCACTGATCTGCAGCGCTGCCACCCCCACCTACCGTACAGGTGACATCCGGCCCACAAGAGCCAGTCTGCGGCAGGGCGTCTTGAGCGGCATTCTTTGCCCATGACATGACGAGCAAGCAGGCGGCAATGGCCACAGCAAACACACCGACCGCTGGCCCCTGTTGTGAAAACCACTGGGCTGCGAAGCGTGCGGCATGAGACACAGAGGGGCGAACTGGGCGCACGTAACCTGAATGATTGTCTGAAGCTCTCGGCAGAAATCCCACCAGCCCTTTGGGCGTGAGTGGTTTAGGGAGCTCTCTCTGTCCTCAACCCCCCTTCTTCCCCTTCGGGGAGGGGTTTACCCCTCCCCCTACCCCCTCCCCCTGGGCCTGGAGAGGGAACCCCGCGGGTGGCCAGAGGGGCCTCTTTCGACTCCTTGGAGGGCTAAACAACGACACCCCTCACGAGGATTCTGGCCCCGACGGGGGGAGGAAGACAAAACCCTCTCCTCATCTTTGAAACCAAACACATTGATTTTACGACTGTTTCGGCCCCATGTTGGCCTTGTGAGGGGGCCGCGCTCCTCTTCCTTCATAGCAAAATCATTGATTTTACGACGGTTTTGGCTTCATTTTGTCCTTCTCAGGGGGCAGCGCTCAGTTGCGCTTCTGATGGGGGTCGCCAGAGGCCCCAAGATGACCCCAAGAGGCCCCCAGGAGGCTCCCAAGAGGCCTCCAAGAGGCCCCCAAGAGGCCCCCAGGAGGCCCCAAGAGGCCCCCAAGAGGCTCTCAAGAGGCCCCCAAGAGGCCCCAAGAGGCCCCAAGAGACCCCCAAGAGGCCCCCCAGAGGCTCCCAAGAGGCCCCCAAGAGGCTCTCAAGAGGCCCCCAAGAGGCCCCAAGAGGCCCCACGAGACCCCCAAGAGGCCCCCCAGAGGCTCCCAAGAGGCCCCCAAGAGGCCCCAAGAGGCTCCAAGAGGCCCCCAAGAGGCCCCATGAGGAGCCCGAACGACTCACACCAGGACGAGGGGCCCCAACGACTCATACCACGAAGAGCCCGAACGACTCACACCACAAGGAGGGGCCCGAACGACTTACACCAGGACGAGGCGCCCGAACGACTGACACCACGAGGAGCCCGAACGACTCACACCACGACGCGGGCCTCGAACGACTCACACCACGAGGAGCCCGAACGAGTCACACCAGGAGGAGGAGCAGCGCTCATACAAGCCCCCCAAGATGGCCCCCAGAGGTCCACCAGATGGCCCCCAGAGTTCCCCAGATGGCCCACAAGAGGTCCCCAGGAGGCACCACGAGGCCTCCAAGAGGCCCCTAAGATACCCCCAAGAGGTCCCCAAGAGGCCCGAAGAGGCGCCGAAGACGCCCCAAGAGGCCTCCGAGCGGCTTCCAAAAGACATCTACTACTACTTCTTCTCCTACGATTACTACTACTTCTACTACGGCTACTGCTCATACTCGTTGGACCACATTATTTGTACTACTACAACTACAACTCCTAGTACGACTACTACCAGGTTTATTCGTACTACTATGAGTCCTACTACTACTAGAATCCCACCAGCCCTTTGGGCGTGAGTGGTTTAGAGAGCCCGCTCTGTTCTCAACCCCCCTTCTTCCCCTTCGGGGAGGGGTTTACCCCTCCCCCTACCCCCTCCCCCTGGGCCTGGAGAAGGGGTCCGGCGGGTCGTCAGGGGGGTCAATTTCGACTCCTGGGAGTGCTAAAAAACGACACCCCTCACGAGGATTCTGGCCCCGACGGGGGGAGGCAGAAAAAACCCTCCCCTCTTCTTTGAAGCCAAAATCATTGATTTTCCTACGGTTTTGGCTCCATTTTCGCCTTCTGAGGGGGCAGCGCTCATCTTCCTTCATAGCAAAATCATTGATTTTACAAAGGTTTTGGGCTCATTTTGTCCTTCTCAGGGGGCAGCGCTCAGTTGCGCTTCTGAGGAGGTCGCCAGAGGCCCCAAGATGGCCCCAAGAGGCCCCCAGGAGGCTCCCAAGAGGCCTCCAAGAGGCCCCCAAGAGGCCCCCAAGAGGCCCCAAGAGGCCCCCAAGAGGCCCCCAAGAGGCCCCCAAGAGGCCCCAAGAGGCCCCAAGAGGCCCCCAAGAGGCCCCCAAGAGGCCCCCAAGAGGCACCCAAGAGGCCCCAAGAGGCTCCAAGAGGCCCCCAAGAGGCCCCACGAGGAGCCCGAACGACTCACACCAGGACGAGGGCCCGAACGACTCACACCACGAAGAGCCCGAACGACTCACACCACAAGGAGGGGCCCGAACGACTCACACCAGGACGAGGCGCCCGAACGACTCACACCACGAGGAGCCCGAACGACTCACACCACGACGCGGGCCCCGAACGACTCACACCACGAGGAGCCCGAACGAGTCACACCAGGAGGAGGGGCCCGAACGACTCACACCAGGACGAGGGGCCCGAACAACTCACACCACGAGAAGCCCGAACGACTCACACCAGGACGAAGAGCCCGAACGACTCACACCACGAAGAGCCCGAACGACTCACACCAGGAAGAAGGGCCCGAACGACTCACACCAGGACGAGAAACCCCAAACGACTCAAATCACGAGGAGCGCTTTCTCTCCCTCCTCCTCCGCCTCGTCCTTCTCCCGCTCCCCCCACAAGGAGGATGTACAAGGAGGCGGGAGGAAGGAGGAACAGGGGAGATATGCGGGGCCAAGCGGACACACGCCTGAAAAACACGACTGTCGGCATGCTTCGCAAGAGTTGCTGCTGTGAGATGGGCTGGTGGGGATACGCGAAGCGTAAATAATATTTCAACTGCATCCCATGTGAATTGCAATCGTGTCGGCTGGATCGTTCTTTGTGCAAGTAAGGTTTCCCGTGGTTGGGTAGATGCACGCTGCGCTTTGCAAGGTCAGCACTGAGTCAACACGCCAGGTATTCACCGGGGAATGTTCCTGGAACTTGGGGCCCGGGGGCAGCGAATCTGGCAGAATGTCAGCCCGCCAGTGGACCGCCCTCCCCACGCTCGCACCGCCCCCTTGGAGAAGGACAGCTGCTATGGCCCAGACCACGACGCGCGAAGCGCGATTATCTTCGCTGGAGAAACCAAAAGGTACAGATACCGTTACTTCGTTTAACTTTCCCCGGGGTGCGTTCTGACCAGAATCTCGTGGCGAATCCACCGATGGCTACGAGGGCCTCCCAGGCGACCCAGAACGAGGGAAAGGTAGCGGTATGAGTATATTTTCTTTCTTTGAGCTCTGGCCCAGACCGCGACGCCCGATCATCTTCGCGCCCCCGCGGATGACACATGCTTCGTGTTATTCACAGTCGTGATGTCGGCTCCTCGTTTCTCCAGACCGGAGGGCTGCTTCCCGCTCCTTCCTTGCTCCCTCTTCCTGCCCTCCTCACAGCTTGTTTGGACGACGCAGGCATACAGCCAAACATGTGGTCAGTTCCCCGGGCGCTTCTCAAAACGAGCCTGGGTCAGTTTTTGTTCTTAACGCTGGAGGGGCGAACGTGCTCAATAATCTGGGCCAATCTTCCGGCAACCTAATCAAGAGACGCTGGCCCAACGTTTCGGAGGAGGGAAGCTTCCAAATCATATGCTCGACAGTAAGTAGGACGCCGATTCAATCAGACTGGAATTTGGCCCGCCCGCCCGCCCAGAAGAAATACAATCAAACATCCTCGATTGCTGGAATCGGGAAACGCTTGGCATATACTCGGACACGATGCTTCAAACATGCATGCGTTGAGCGGGCGGCCTGTGGCTTCTTTATCTTCCAGCCGTGCTCCCCCTCGCTGGTTCGCCATCTCTCCTGTCGAACATTTCTCTGCTGTGAACCGACCCCGTGGACTCCTCTCGCGTCTGCTCCGCCCAAAACAAAAAAGTTTGTCAAAGAGTCGCGCGTGCATCCATACTTGCCCACCCATCATTCGAGCCGTTTCCGCTACAGTCAGCCCGTATACTGAGCACGCACGATCAAGATGCAAGGGCCTTGGGAGGCCATGCCGACACTTTGCGAGCGGGGCGCGGCCAGCAAAAACGGCCGAGCGCGAGAAGCCTATGGGGAGGACGCGCAGGCGCGGCGTGATGGGCTCCCCTGCTACAGCAGGCAACCCTGCAACGCCGCAGTTGGCCAGGAGCCCCGCGTCTAAGCTCGGAAGCAAGCGGCGATCCACCATGTCGGGCGGAAGCAGCACGTGTTAAAAGACAGCCTCGAGATCATCAGAGGCGATGGAGACCTTCTGATCGGCCTCCAGCGAGCCAAACGCCGAGGGAGTAGGTCATCGCGTCGATGGTGCGGCCACGAAGTCGCACTTTATGGCCCCCTGTGTCGAAGATGATCCTGGGACGCTCGCCTTTGCGCGTGATGAAAGACAATCCGAGGTCTCCGCCGTGGCCACGCTTCCAAGTCTGCATCCCGCGACTCCAGGCCTTTCTCGAAAAGGTGGCATACTCACGAAACTTCTGCTTGAGCACCAGGTCGACGCATTCGCCCCGGGAGCACGTCTCTAAGCGGAGGCTGCGAATGGCCTGGGGCGGTCGTAGCACGTGCTCCTTCTAATCAATAAGCCACGAGGCATCCACGTCACCCAGCAAGCCAGCCAACAGAACGTGCTGGGAGGGTGGGGGCCAGGCGATTTGGTCGCCGTCATAGGGAACGAGGGGTCCGCCACCGCTGGCGTAGCCGGGCGCGCCTGACAGGATCGCGCCCAGGAGCCAAAGTTGCCGTGCATATCACTCAGCACGTCGATTCCCTCGGACGCCCGCTCATCGGCATGCGCAGCCTGGAGACGGCGGTGGGCCACGCGGCGACTCGGAGATACTTGGCAAAATTGATCGGGCAGCCGCTCCAGAGCGAGCAAAGGGGACAGGTCACGCTGGCGGACCTCGCCCAGGCCCTCCCGGGGCGGCAGGCGGGCAAGAGTCAACGGCGGCTGGGAGAACCCCGCGTCCACGCTGCTGGCCCTCCGGCGCGCCGGGCCAGGCGACGCTGCGCTCGGCGACGCTGCGCCCAAAGGGCGCCGTGCTGGCGCCCGCGCGTGCATGGTCGCACCAGGCCCGACGCACCTGCGTCGGCGGGGCCCGCGGGGTCATTGGCGCCGCCCGTATCCTGGCCGCTGGACTCCGCCTCAAAGGACGCGACGCCTGGGATGTC